AGCTGACAGGGAGTAGATGTTACTTCAAAACTGCACCATATAATGAGGTATAAACTCTTAATTGTATCTTTGATTCAAAAGTGAAATACCTAAACATTTGTCTTACTTGCTAAAGTTTCATTTTGTAGGTCCACTAATGTGTAAGTAAAAATAATACTTAACATCTCTAGCCACTTTGCAGTTATCTGCCCCAAAATGGAATTCACCTTCATTGAACACGATTTGGAAGGTACACAGGGCTTTCTGAAAACCTTTTCTTTGGTATATCCTGTTTTTCGTCTTAGAATCAAAAGATGTTTCACAATTTCTTTTGTAGAGAATTTAGGATCACAGATCCAGAGGCTGAAGTCCTCTGATGATATATATATATATATTTTTAATCCCCTCTCTGTTCTCATCCAAAATAAACCTGATACAGGACTTCCTGAATCTGAAGTTCTATACATGGTGACATGCCTTTTTCAAGGTCTAAGGCTTTGATCATTTACCCCCGCCAGTCAGCCCTCTGCCCCCAACCAAATGAGAGTGTATTCTTCCAACAATACAAAGAACTGAGTTACTTTGTAATAACTCATCACGTTTTCTTAATAGGATATTCCAGGAAGAGGACATAAGTATTGCCTTAAATTTTCTGTGGAAGAAATTATCCAAAAAGTAAGTGAAATGTCCTTTATTATTAAATAAAATTTGATTCTAGAAATATTTTAGATCACCTTTGCTGATAAAATCGTATTAAGTTGTTGTGAAATCCCTGCCTTGAAAAAAATAATTACTATGCATAGGTCAGATTTTATGCTTTTTAAAATATATTGAGATACATGAGGTAATTCTATTGAGCTAGTTAGCAAAGACTCTACACATTTCAGTTCAAATAAATTCCCTTAAAAAATGTTATATACTCATAGGACAGTCTGAACTTATGCCTAATATGAACAAGTGAAGTAATTTACTCTCCAGTCATCATCACTTTCTTAAATGTCTGCCTTTCTCATTCTGTTTTTGATTTATTTGAAAGATATTTATGAGGAATAAAATGACCAAATGATACCACCATGTCAGATAAGAATCTTTCAGTAATGGGGCAAGGAAATTTTTAAAAAATACATTCCTGCCAAATAATTAGTGAGACAAACTTAAAAGAAAGGAACTGCAATTTGTAACACAACCATCTTGAAATTTTATAAAAAGCTTGCCCTTTTATTGAGCATAATTCAGAAGAGATACAGGCTAACATGAGATTTATTAAACGACATCTAAGCTGCTAGACAGCCATCTTTCAAAGCAGAACCAATGCTACATTTTCTAATTTTATATGTAGATAAGATTACTATATCTGGGTTTGAGAATATTTCTGTTATTTCAGAAGCAGAGAGTGGAGTAACAGAAAGACTTAAAAAGTAACCAAAGGCTAGAGGTAGTATATAAAATCAGACTAAAATCTAGCCTTACAAGTGGACACCCCATTAATACTGAAATAGTTAAAGTTTTAAGAACTTGTAAGATTATGAAACCCTGTAAGTTACAAAATAAGTTATCTATTTTAGATATCTTTAAGAAAACTGTAGGCCACACCCAATTAGATACCTCTGTAATAGACACTCTGAAGTTTCAAACACCATTAGAAGGCCAACACTTTTAATGTTGTACCTCAAGAATGACAGCTAGTGATGGATGGCCTTCTACATGTAAAGATATTTTGCAAAATGTTTCAAACAGCAAGTTACACTGAACTGTACAGCTGAAGTACTTTACCCTCTAACGGGACAAGATACTGCACCAGAAGTCAACTTCACATTTGAAGGAGAAATTGGAAAGAACCCAGATAAAGAAGATAACACATTTTATCAAAGACTCAAGTCTATGAAGGAACCACTTGAAGCACAAAATATTCCAGGTATATAAATATGGCATGGAAAATTTCCTTTCAACTTTAAGATCAGTGTTAATTATCCTCAAAACTGTTAGATGTTAACATTATGTTGGAAATAGACTGGCTTTTGCAAAAATATTCATTACCAATCTAATTCAACAAAAAAGGGCCTTGCAACTTTGTAGATCCAGGGCTTAAATTATATTCTGTACACATTTGAAGGAAACAAAGACATGACTTAGATTTAGATTTTCTTAAAGGTTAATATTGCATATATAAAGTAATTCCATTTATCATATAAATGTTTCCCTCCCCAGACAGTTTTGGAAATGTATCTCCAGAAATGAAGCCAGTTCGACATTTAGCCTGGGTTGCCTGTGGTTATATAATATGGCAGAATTCTACTGAAAACACATGGTATAAAATGGTAAAAATACAAACTGTCAAGCAAGTGGTAAGTGATTTGTATAACAAATACTATTAACAAAGTTCATTTTACAGAAAGTATGATGATTTATAATTGGATAAACAATGTTCCTTTAGTCATTTTATATTAAAAATAGTGAGCCTGTTATTTTGAAGGAGTGAGACTTACAACCAAGGCTAAAAACAGTGAAGCTGCAGTTTCCAAGAGAGTGAAATATTGAGTTATAGGCAGTATAGCATTCAGTTCTTGTGCTCAGCTTAAAACATTATATCCTTTGGCAATCTAAATTTTGTGTTCAAATTTCTATAGGTATGCAATACTGAAACTACCTCTGTTTTCCTCCTCTATTGAAATGGTGGTGCCAGTGTTACTCAGAGACATGCTGGCATTTTTTTGCCCCAGGGATCAGCCGGAACAAAAATATTACAATCTTAATCTTTGTGAAGCTTGCTGAATATAAGTTTCTCCTATAACCCCTTTAGCCATAATCTACAACTTCCGTTTCTTGTTGATAGCCTGGTGTTTCAAGTCTGATAGGACTATTTAGAACTGCCTCTTTCTAGACTTTAAGGAGATAAAGTCAGCTTTACATTTTAGCCTTATTAAGAGGTTAAAAAGTCAACTGTTGGTATGTAAAAGATATAAAGAAAAACAGTACAAAGAAACCACAACAAACAGTCTGAGCTCTGTAAGTGAAAAGGACTTTCCACATGACTTGTTTTGGCTTGCTGGTAACAAACTGCAAGGCAACTGGAGCACCTTTGCTCCACAGGGTTTTGTAACCACATGATACCTACGGGCACTGGGGGGCAGGACACCCTATCACAGTTGTCACAACATGATGCCAAATCCCTAACAAATCTACAACATTTTCAGAAACAGCCTTTTTCTAATGCACTTCTGTAGATATCAGCTTTGGTTACAACATTCCTGTAGGGGTACTGAGGCCTCAAATAATTGAGTAACAGGTCCAGGTTACAGAAATTACACAGTCATAATCATGGTTTTCAAGGCATGTTTTTGTAGCAAAATATACACAAGACAGTACTAGTAGTTTTATGAAAGAAAACTCCTGTAACCGTTCATCAAAGTTTTAAAGCATTAACTAAAATTTCAGCAGAAAGGTTTATTGCACATTTATAATCCCTGTTAACCAAAGGAGCCACAGCAGCTTGTGCTGTCCCTCGGAGGCTAGGGTTTGTTTCAATACATTGATTATAAGCCAAGAACCTTGTACAGCAAATCTCTGGTGAATGTAGTTTAAAGTCTGTGGATGTAGTATTTCTGTGTATATGGTGTAGATGGTATAAATACTTTGTATGTCCAAAGCAATAAGCAGCACAAAGCTTTAATTATAAAACCAGATAACTACATTAAGTTTCATTATTCTCAATTTTTAAAAAGAAAATTTCTATTATAAAATTGGTTTCCTTTAATGTAAACACTCATTCCAGTAGTTTATCCCTTAAATAATGCTTTTCTGCATAATGGAAACATTAAGGAATCTTAAATGACACTCTTTAATCATTAATACTCTAAAGCAGCTATCGCAGCCCAGAACCTAAAAAGGGTACACGAAATTCATTTATTTATTCTGTGAGAGTGTGTGTGAATGAGGGAGGAGCAGAGAGACAGGGAGCAAAAGAATCCCAAGCAGGCTTCACACTGCCAGGGCGGAGCCCGACATGGGGCTTGAACTCACGAACCATGAGATCATGAACCGAACCATCAAGCGTCGTCTGCTGAAAAGACTGAGCCACCCAGGCACCCCAAGGGTACACAACTTTTAGAGTACCAGGTGGAAAATCATGATTTTAAAATGTAGGTTGAAAGAAAACTTACTTTATAAGAACACAGTTTATCTGATCAGGCTAAGTAAATTATAACATTCAATTTTTTAATTTTTACTTATTAAATGCAAGTATTATAATCATCTAGTAATGAAAGCTCAATTTTAAAATGAACATATCATTTCTGCCAAAGATATGAAGTTTCAAACACCAGGTTTTTATTTTTTATGATAGCAAAGAAATGATGACTTCATTGAATTCGACTACACCATTCTACTTCATGACATTGCATCTCAGGTAAAGTACCTTTTACCTTTATCTGATGGGACTTTGAAAACGGAGACTTGTAGCCACAGCGTATGCCCAAGTCATAATTCTGACTCTAAGTAAGAATTCATGTAAATTAAAATAGATACCAGGCTGAAGTATATTATACTGGTAGCCATTTAACTTCTTTTATGCTGCTCTTTGTAAGGACTATTTTGTCCTATAAACCCAACACTGTTTTCTTAAATGTTTTCTGAATTTTATCACAGCATTAGTTTCCTTTACTTGCAGGAGATTATTCCTTGGCAAATGCAAGTTCTCTGGCATCCACAATATGGTACTAAAGTAAAGCATAACAGCCGTCTGCCAAAGGAAGCACAACTGGAATAAATGAAGATCCTAACGCTGGATGAAGTATCAACATGCTTATAAATGCTGTGTATTCCAGATCTTCATGGATCCCTAGCTTATGGGGCCAAATTGCAAAGTGTCACTCTGTATAAATGTCTTCATTACAGTATAGAACTATACAGATTCTGTAACAGTGTCATGATGTACAAGTGTCCCAATACTAACAGTGTTATGTATATCCCATAATAAAAAGCTTCAGTCCCAGTCTCCTAGTACGTTTGTTTTGCATACTTACGGGACGGGGGCAGTAATGGTCTCCCTGAAAGCAACCTTTGGCTTTCCTGTGACACAAGGACAGCCATATTCTCTTTCCATCCTCTAAAAAGAACAGGGGAGATAATATTTTGGTATGTTTAAAAAAATAAACTGAAAGAAGAACAATCTTAAGAATCTTAACTACCTCTGAAGCACCTGTCTAAACATAATAGATTAAAAAAAAAAAGACAAACTTTAAATCACTTAAGTATCTTAGAAAGGTTAGAGACATGATATTAAGTAATACAAACTGCTTTTAAAGATTTTATGTAAATGAATTCTACTTAAGACTCATGAACTTACACTTACCTCTAATCTATCCATTAAAACTTCACACCTTTTTTCTATACTATTACATATTCACTGGAATGTTGTCAGTTTTCTACTGTCTTAACTTCTAAAATGTGATCACAACCAGAATTTTTAATCGTAAGTCATATAGCTTTTGTTTTCATTCACAGACACAGAAGAACTTTCCTAGGAAAATATGGCCCATCTACTCTATTATCTATATTCTAATGATCTTCAAGCACTAACTTGAAAAGAAGACAGGCAAGAAATGGCCTGAAGAGTGGATACTGATGGGCCAACTTCCTCAGCAGGTCTCTCCCAACGGGTGGTCTCCCTAAGGCTGGGTCCAGGATTTACCTGACCCAACTAACAATGACGTAGGGAATGAATGGATGGTCTTATTGCAAATACTGAGCCTTGATTCTAGCAGTTTACAATATTTTACAAATAAAAGGATTCAGAAATAAAAAAGAATTAACTTGTAACACATAGTAACATTTGTAACACAGTATGCCACATCTGGATAGAAACCAGAATGAAGTCTGAAGAACTACTATTAGTTTACAGTCATTAGACTGAGAACTATTGACTTGTAACAAAACAAAAACATAAATACAATGAATTTAAGTTAATTTTCTTGTTATTCATTACCTGAGCATAGATTTCCAGGTGTAATTCCCCCATTCCAGATACGATTGTCTCTTTGCTCTCAGTGTCGAAGTGGACTTTAAATGTAGGGTCTTCTCTTGTAAACCTGCCAATACCTTTTGAAAATTTTTCCAGATCATTCTTTAAAAACAGAAAGTCATTACACATTTTACTAAGCATGATAAGCAATAGGACTGTTGAAAGAACTTTACTGAATGAAATCAAATACATTAACAGCTAGGAAATAACAATGATCCCCACCTAGCTCCTAGGCCATACCCTTTCAATATTTGAGCTTGGACACCACACAGTCAAGACAGCAGTGAATGGCTAGCTGACAGAATTCTTTCTATAACAAGATAGAAAACAAGAGTCCAAGACTTACCTATGCCCTTTCCTATTCTCAGATATACAGAAACTATCCACTTGTGGGGAAAACTGCCCATGAAGGGGAAAGAAGAACCTATGTTACTGTTACGTTTTAGAAATCCTATACACAAAGGAATCAGTGTATTTACCAAGACTTGATTGTAGCTTCAAGCAGAACAGTTAAGACCAAGAATAAGGCAATGCCACAGTGGGACTTCCCCCTTTCAAAACAACCTGCTTGGATGTGGTTGGATGTGCCTTTATTCTTCTTAGATGTAATTCCATACATGGTAAGCAGAATAATGGTCCTCTAAGGATATGCCCTAATCCTCCCAAACCTGTGAATTTACTTTATGAGGTGAAGGGAACTTTACAGATATGATTAAGGTTACAGACACTGAGATGGGGAAATTACCATGAAGAATCTGAAGAATCTTTAAAAAGGAAGAGGAGTACAGAAGGTTAAGTCAGGGAGACAGAATGAGGGAAGAAGAGGCAGAAGACATCTGAAGCACAAAAGGGACTCATTTCATGGTTGACAGCATTGAAGACAAGACATAAGCCCAGGAAGATGGGCAGCCTCTAGTGACCGTCATCTGGGAAATGGGGACCCCAGTTCTAACAGCCACAAAGAGCTGGATTTTGCCAACAATCTGAGTTAACTAAAAATAAAATGTCCCCTGGAGCCTCCAGAAAGGAAAACAGCTCTGTCAATACCTTGATTTTAGCCAATTAAGAACTACCTCAGATTTCTAACACTGTAAAAGAATACACTTGTGTTATTTTAAGCCACCAAGTTTGTGGTACTTTCTTACGGCAGCAATAGGAAACTAACACACCCTGGATCACCAGTATTTAACAGCTATCACATGTGCATGGAATCATTCTATATGTGTATGCTCTGTGTATGTTCCTCAAATTCTAACTACAATGCTGCAAGACAGAATTATCCACATTTCACAGGTGAGGAAACTAGGTGTAGAAAGGTGAAGTGACTTGCTCAAGGCCACAGAGCTAGTGCATGGCAAAGCTGGGACTGAATCCTGAGTCAGTTGATCTCTGAAGTCTCTTGCCTTTTCGCTACACTATGTATTTTCAACTTACTAGAAAATCATCCCTGCCCCACTATCAAGATTCACAGCTTTATGCAGTGACTTCATTATTTGAATTAAATTTGACTTTACTCCAGCAAGCAGATGGCCCTAAGACACCAAAAAACCTTTTAGATACTGATGCCTTTGATTTCCCTCTACTGTTGTGAACTATCAACAGTTAAATACCTTACATAGACTCTACATTAGGAATGAAGAAGCATAGTATCATTAACTTCTGTCCCTGAACGTTCTGAAGGGAAAAGCAAACAATTTTGCAAAGCACCTAGAACTGTGGCATTTCACTGTGTGGTAAGATACAAGGTTTGCCTTTTCTCAAATTTCTGATATGGAAGGATTTAATGTTTCTTACTCCCTCAACATCCTCTTTTCTGTATTGAGAAGGGTCTGGAAAATCTCATTTCCTCAAAAATGAGGAAGTAGTACCTGTTAATGTATTCACAAGACAATAAACCAGAGTATGTTCTGTAAACAATAGCTCCCAGATGACAAGAGGTCATAAAATGTTCACTCAATGCATGAATGAGTTCAATTCACGATATTAACATGACTATTATGAATGTCAAAGCAACTTTAAGAACTCAGTTATGACAGCAATGCAAATTAAACCTATTCAAGCAATTCTGGTTTCATAAAAAGCAAATGAGATCAAGTCCAATCATAGAAAGAAAAACAGTCTTGTTTTAGGCTTTCCACATTATAACCAGACATGTACCTCCTAACTACCACAAATCCAGAGATGTATTATAATCCATGAGGCAATTAATCTATACAGTAATCTAATGTACTTCAGTGGGGTTTTACTACAACTTAAGACAAATGTCCCTGTTTCCCCTTTTCATTCCTTTATGATGTGAATCTAGGAAAATATTCTTATTACTTTGGAGCTAGTGATATTGTAAAGAGTTGGAAAGCACAGTCTCGTACCAATTTTAACACCACCAATTTTTTCAGATATAGTGTGAAAAGTAATTACTACCAACAGACTGGGTGGTTTTTTTTTTTAAGTTTATTTATTTATTTTCAGAGAGAGAGAGAGAGAGAGAGAGAGTGAGCGAGCAAGTGGGAAAGGGGCAGAGGCGGGGCGGGGGAAAGAATCTCAAGCAGATTCCACACTTCCAGTATAGATCCTGATGCGGGGCTCAAACCCACGAAGCCACAAGATCATGCATGACCTGAGCCAAAACCAAGAGTCAGACCCTTAACCAACTGAGCCACCCATATGCCCCCAGACTGGTAGTTTTAAAAGGTGATCTCGGGGCGCCTGGGTGGCGCAGTTGGTTAAGCGTCCAGCTCTTGATTTCAGCTTAGGTCATGATCTTGTGGGTTCCTGGGATTGAGCCCTGAGTCGGGCTTTGCACTGACACTGTGGAGCCTGCTTGGGGTTCTCTCTCTCTGCCCCTCCCCTGCTTGTGCATGCATGCTCTCTCTCAAAATAAATAAACATTAAAAAAAAAAAAAAAAAAAAAAAAAAAAAAAAAAAAAGGTAATCTCAATACCAAAAGAAGAAATAGAGACTATGAGATTGCTGGTTATCATAAGATACTATATGCATTGTGAGCTCAAGTTTTTACTGTGATATACTGAGTTTGACACCCATCTCCTACCTTGTTAGAAGGCTTCATTGCTATTGAAATGACAGGATCAGGAACATGAATTGACTCCTAAAACATTTTTTAAAAGAACAGAGAAGAATTCAAATACAGTACTGTTTGGTCCAGGAATGAATGAATTTTAATGTGCTACTTACAAAAGTATAAATACTAGTCAACATGTTTAGGCTAGATGATATATAGTGTGATATATAGTGTGGTCTGTTTCATATTAAATGTATCAATATAATAATACATTAATAAATGCACACATTTGCATAATCTCCTCCCTCCCCAAATAACAAAAATAAATTATTTATTAACTGTTTAAGACCTCTAAGTTTACTGACACATTCAGTTTAAACATAATCATAATGAACCCAATGCCAAGATGTGGAATTTCTTATTGGCTAGTGGCTACATGTACTGTTGCCATCTTTTGATAAGTTACTTTATTTAATCAAAATATACCATGACCATTGATAAAACAGAGAAAGGGCACTAGATTCTTTATACAAATGATACCTCATTCAATCAATCACAACTCTGACAAGCAGATGTTATTATCCCCATTTTACAAATTAAATTATTAAGAGCTTGGAAAGAAGACAAAATAACTTGGCCAAGGGTCAGTAAGGAGTATAGGGCAAAGGTGAGACTCTAATCAAGGTCTATTTGCTTCAAAGCCTAAGCACTTCCCACAACCTCCAGTTCCTCATATTATTAGTGACAAATATTTAGAGAAGGCCTTATCAATATTTGTTTACAAAACATGCCCCTTCTCTAGATCCCCCCCAAAACCTGTACAGATTTTGATTTTTTGTAGTATCTGAAGTCAAAATGTAAAACCATAGATATTAGAGAATATTTTATACAGAAAAACTAAATTATAAAATTATGACTGCATCACATAATACAGGAACTATTATAGTGTTCATCTATTAGGGATAGACCAGTTCTTATGTAAAGAACCCACTATAAATTCCTTCACTGCAAGTTCCTATCCCCCTGTGTATTCCTATTCTTTCTTTACTGAATTCAGCTTGAACAGATGATTTTACTGTCAGAGAGCCTGCTCTCCTACAGGCGCAAAAAAGGGAAATGAGTGAAGGGGATTCACAGGCAGGAACTGCTCAAGCATGCTCTTTCCTTTGGGATCCTTCAGTGATGAAAAGCCAGACTTCCACAGGGCAGCCTGTCTGCAGTAAGACTGTTGCGTTGCACCTCGCCTTCAAGCAGGGTTCCACTCTGTTATCCCCTAGTCTACATGTTCCAGTTCTCTGGGGGACTGAGGCAAGGGTCCACTCTGGCTGCTAGATTAGTAAGTAAGGGGCACTCCACTGGGACCGGCCTGATTATGGCAACAGGAATTAGAAGGGAATCCCCTATGGGGAGGCAGATCTCAAGAGTAGAGGAATGGGCACTACACAGTCCTGGTGTATCTAGTGAAGAGTTCTCCCTCCATGCTAAACCTAACAGGACCATGGAATTATTTTACTAAGAAAAACCAGATAACTTACATAGAGCATTTGTCTGACATCCAAAGAGCCACCCACAACAAATCTACTGATGCCTGTGGCAATAAATAAAAACTTCTGTGATTGTTTTTTCTGAAGTACTAAATGTACTATATAAAAACAAAGACTTTTAAAACTCAAATGACAAATAGCTTTGAAATGAAATGACATACCATAGAAAGGCCACTATTATTTTTGTTGGTGAATGTGTCTCCGCTAGCACAGTCGATGCCAAACAATGCACAGATGTCTCCAGCATACACTTCCTCAACATCCTAAATAAAGGAATAACATAAAATAATGCTTGCAAGTAATACAAATCAGGACATAGTAACTAAAAAGTAATTACACAATAAACACATTGATATATAAACAAGTATGGCAGCATCTCACCATGGATTCTACGGAGAATGAATTATAGAACCAGTGCGATACCAACAATCAACCACAGCAAGATACAGCTTGAATAGGGCCTTTATTTAAACCATATCTTGATTGACAAGATTTTACTTTAAATGGACATTTAGAGCTATGGCATCATTATTTGGAGGATATGTAGTAGTGACAGTACACAGAGCCTCACACTTCTAAAGTTATTTCTATGGATTAAAAAGGATGTATTACACCTGGGTGGCACCTGGGTGGCTCAGTAGGTTAAGTGTCCGACTCTGGATTTTGGCTCAGGACATGATCTCATGGTCGTGAGATCGAGCCTCGCATCGGGCTCTGCGCTGACAGCATAGAGCCTACTTCTCTCTCTTCTCTCCTCTCTCTCTCCCCTCTCCCTACCCCTCCACTGCACTTGTGTGCATGCACGCTCTCTCTCTCAAGATAAAAAAACAAACAAAAAAGGATGTATATTATACGTGTTGCCACAGTCCAACAATGACATATGTATGACAAAGACGTAAGAGGAAAAACTGCAAAGGAAGTTTTGAAAACAAAGGCAGGGGAATTCAGCTCATGTACTTAAAATAATTTTAATTTCTCACAGATGCAAGCAGTCAAGTAAACAAAGGAAATCAAGAACAAAGCACTGGTGCCTCTTAAGTTTCCTAGTTTTTGTCCACTTATAATTGACAGTTCATTCATAACAGCTGTGGCTGTGAATGAGCAAGTGTGCCTGAGTCTAACATTTACACAGATAAACACATCTCCTAGCCTCTGGCCGGCCCATAAAAACAAACGGCTGTGACAATCACCAATCCCTCTATAATGCCCCCTGCTGCCTATCTCACAAAACAGCAATTGCATCCAATTTTGAAAGACTGCTCACTCACCTTCCAGGAGAGACAAAGTTATGGTTACCACAAATTTCTGAATGTCATAAGCTTTTGCTGACAAATAAACCTCTCTAGGAATAGAAGTGACTTGGGAAAGAGCGGGAGGAGGAGACAACTTCACACACTTAGCATTTCTATCAAGACTTAATCCTAAAAGACCACAGAAGGCATGGATAGATTCAGAACCAATTCAAAAATTCAAGCCATAAACCAAAGTTTATTTCCCAGATAAGATCTTGAGAGGCTCTAAATCTTCAGATGGATTTCAGCACCAATAAGGTCCTTCTGGGGGGCTGGTTCTATAATAGGAATAAAAAGCTCTAGGGTCAAATAGGGCTTTCACACAGGCCATACTTGTGAAAGTTAATTCCCTGAACAATGTTGGACACTGTGTATGAACTAATTAGTCTCAACTGCCTCTGAAAACCACTTACATTGTCCTAACACCTATTACATACTCTTTGTGATGGCAGTTCTTGAGAAAGGTGCTGAATCTTGTGTTCTGAGTCTTAGAGAACTAATTGTCCTTTCTCCTTAACCTTGGCCATTGAGGAAATACAGCTAATCACAAACAGTGGCATAAAATGTGTCCTTAACATCTAGTAATTTAGCCCATACCAAAGTGCGACATCAGAATTATAGCAGGGGCACCCGAGTGACTCAGTCGGTTAAGCGTCTGACTTCGGCTCAGGTCATGATCTCACAGTTCCTGAGTTCGAGCCCCAGGGTGGACTCTCTGTTGATAGCTCGGAGCCTGGAGCCTGCTTCAGATTCTGTGTTTCCCTCTATCTCTGCCCTTCCTCTGCTCACACTCTCTCTCTCAAAAATAAATAAATGTTAAAAAAAATTAAAAAAAAAAAAGAATTATAGCATATCTAAGTAAAAAGGAAGAAGTTAGGAAAACACATTCAAGTAGAAGTGATTTTCTTGTGGGGCTCAGCATACCAAGAAGGAAGATCTATTTCATGTGAATTGCATTAGCGATATTTCTGATCTCCCAACAAGGACCTCTACTTGCCTCCATCATGTCGGCGTGCATGCGAACCAGCCGTTGCACCCGCACTTTCTTTCCCGTCCGCGTGTTACAGATGGTGTCACCCTTCTTCAGTTCTCCTTGATAATTGCGGACATATGTTAACTGTCCAAATCGCCCAGCCTAGGAGTCAAGATTGGGTAAGGGCAGAAAGAAGAAAAAAGAGATGTAAGAATCAAAATTAGGAGAAAAACTTCACAACAACCTCCAATTATTCCCTATCAATTTTAGTAGTATACTTTATATATGTGTTTTGGTTTATTGCCATAAAATACTTAAAAATATCAGCTTTGAATATAAATGAGTTAAATGGTTGTTGCTGGTCTTTTTGGTATCACAATCCAAGATATTACTTCTGATTCTTCTGAAATAAAAATTAGAAAAAATTTTAAATTGTATATGTAATAAGGAAATATCCTTTTGCCTTCTAATATTATTTCATAAGTTCAGTTTAATACAATTAAGGTGTAAACACAAATCAGTTATAATTATTGGAAAGACAATACATATTGGAAAGAACAAAAATATTATCAGAAATGGTAAAGCTGTACTATACACCTAGAAAACCTTTGATAAGCACCTGGAAAGCTATACAAATAAGCATTTTTTTTTTTTTTTTTTGAGAGAGAGAGAGAGAGGGCACAATTGAGCAAGGGACAGAAAGAGAGGGAGAGAGGGTGAGAGGAAAGGAGAGAGAGAAGTGGGGGTCACCCAAAGCAGGGCTTGAACTCACGAACCATGAGATTACAACCTGAGCCAAAGTCAGATGCTTAACCAACTGAGCCACCCAGGTGCCCACAAAGAAGCATTCTTTAAAATAAATGAATATAAAATAATCACGGATCAATTCCTCCTCAATATTAACACTAACCAATTAGATATGCTTTAAAAGTTGCCAATTCTTCCCATGCTAATTTACAGGTTTAACACAATAGCAAAAAAATTCCCAAGAGGAATTTTTAAACATTTGATTAATGATTTTAAAATTCATTTAGAAGAATAAATGGATAAAAATAGAAATTTCTGAAGAATTAAGGCAATAAGAAGCTAACCCTGACTGATATAAAAATATATTAAATATTCCAAACTTAAAAAGTACAGAAGTACTATTAAAATTCCACTAACATTCTTTGCACAGCTAGAACAAACAATTCTAAAATTTGTATGGAACCACAAAAGACCCTGAATAGCCAAGGCAATTCTGAAATTTTAACAAAAACAAAACAGGAGGCATGATGATTCTGGATTTCAAGCTACATTAAAATGCTATGTCATCAAGATGATATGGTCCTGGCAAAAAAACACACACATAGATCAATGGAACAGAACAGAGAACCCAGAAATGGACCCACAACTATAAGGTCAACTAATCTTCGACAAGGCGAGAAAGGAATAACCACTGGAGAAAAGACAGTCTCTTCAACAGATGGTGTTGGGAAAACCAGACAGCAACATGCAGAAGAATGAAACTGGACCACTTGCTCATACCACACACAAAAATAAATTCAAAATGGATGAAAGACCTAGATGTGAGACAGGAGGCCATCAAAATCCTAAAGAACACAGGGAGCAACTTTTCGACGTTGGCTATAGCAACTTCTTACTAGACATGTCTCCAGAGACAAGGGAAACAAAAGCAAACATGAACTACTGAGACCTCATCAAAATAAAAAGCTTCTGCACAGCCAAGGAAACAATGAGCAAAACTAAAAGGCAACCAACAGAATGGGAGAAGATATTTGCAATGACATATCTGTTTTTGTTTTTTTTTTTAACGTTTATTATTTTTGGGACAGAGAGAGACAGAGCATGAACGGGGGAGGGGCAGAGAGAGAGGGAGACACAGAATCAGAAACAGGCTCCAGGCTCCGAGCCATCAGCCCAGAGCCTGACGCGGGGCTCGAACTCACGGAGCACGAGATCGTGACCTGGCTGAAGTCGGACGCTTAACCGACTGCGCCACCCAGGCGCCCCTGCAATGACATATCTGATAAAGGCTTAGTATCCAAAATCTATAATGAACTTAAACACAACACCCAAAAAACAAACAACCCAGTTAAGAAATGGGCAAAAGACATGAAAAGACACTTTTCGAAAGAAGACATCCAGATGGCTGACACAAGAAAAGATGCTCAACATCATTCATCATCAGGGAAATACAAATCAAAACCACAGTGAGGTATCACCTCATACCAGTCAGAATGGCTGAAATTTATTAATAAGACAAGAAACAACAGGTGGTGGTAAGGATGCAGAGTGGAACCCTTTTGTGCTATTGGTGGGAATGCAAACTGGTGTATCCACTCTGGAGAACAGTATGGAGGTGCCTCAAAAAGTTAAAAATAGAACTACCCTACGATCCAGCAATTGCACTATTTGGTATTTACCCAAAGAATACAAAAGTACAGAGTCAAAGGGGTACATGCACCCCAATGTTTACAGCAGCATTAACTACAATAGCCAAACTCTCTCTCTCTCAAAAATAAACACTTAAAAAAATTCTTAAAATAAATAAATAATACTCAATGCTGATAAAGATGCACTGAAATAATACATTACTCTGAGAGTATGACAGGAATCTGGCAAGAAAGCATTCATTCCTTTAATTCAGTAATCACCATTCTAGGAATCCTAAGAAGACATTCTTACATATATATTTTTTAAAAGCTTTACACATAAAAATTGTCACTGCAATGTTATTTGTACTTTTTAATTTAAAATTATCTTTTTCTTTTACAAGAAGTGTATTGTAAAAATTTTTAAATGAAAACTAAGAAAATGCCTCCAAAATATAATCCCATTACAGAAATAACCACTCTTAACACTTCGAACTTATCTACCTTTTTTCTCCACTTACAACATATGAATAGAAGCAACGACACCCTGACAAAAAGTACACCCCCATACTCGAATCTTGGTTTCCAATATCATTCTTGATTAAAAAGAACCAAAGCCCCTAGAGAAATGGCTGATTCTAGAGCTGGGACAGGGAATACACATGATAAGCATGGAGGATCCTATAGTGCCACAAAGTCAGGAAGTATTTGAAAGAACACAGGAGCAACCGAAAGAGCTCCAATGGCCAAACCTGGCAACAAAATAAATAACGTACTATTCACTGTATCTCACAATAAATATCCATGAGGCCATACTGATATAAAGGAATGACTGAATAAAAATATAAATGGGGGAAAGAAGACAACACCCACATAACTGACAGTGGATTCTATTCCCTCAAGGGGGTAGAGCATAATTCCTCCCCCCTTAAGCATGGGGGGGGGGGCTTTTAGCAGAGCAATCTGTAACCAAATCTTTCAGAGTCATTTTGTAATAGGAAGAAAACCTTAAAAGAATATTTCTACATATAGCAATTAAATACATTAGAAAGCCACTTACCTCCAGTTTAAAAGCCAGGCCTACAAATGGGTGGGAACTGTTTCTTTCAGAGTTCATTAAGATTTTGTTTTTCTCTTTTGAGTCACTTAAAAGAAATGTAAATCTGTGAGATGCAGTATTTGATATTTCTTGTATATCAATTTGTTTCATCAGAGTATTACCTGGGCAAAAGCACATGCATGCTAAACATTTGTACCTCCCATAACTGAAATTTCACTGAAAGAGATGAGTAAGAATAACTTCTCAGGGCTTAATTACTACATTGTGACAGGACCAGAGTAGACTAAAAACACAGAAGTGCCAGTTTAAGAAAAGAAAAATAATCAATGAGACCTTTAAAAAGTTTGTTTCGCAAAGCTTTTTTTGGGGGGTATGACCAAAACCAGCTGGTCCCAAATGAAAAAATTTACTAATGATGCAAACCTTGGTAGATAATAAACCATACTTCTTTCTAACTCACAAACAGAATATGATATGGAAAGTGGTATAATATTTTTCTAGATGTCAAAAGTGTTATCCAAATAGAAATGGGCGATTGATTTTAGTAAATTACAGGGAAAAAAAACACAAACACAACTTAATCAAAAGAACCACTCTTAAATTCTTTCATAGTACGTGTTAAAATATTTGTGTATAAACTAAGATTCAATTTCCAAGACTTACTCGTCCTGATTGAGAATAGCATAATTTTGGACTTCAGATGGATTTGGGAGGTATTCTAAAACAGCATCTAGAAGGGGCTGAACTCCCTTGTTCTTCAAAGCACTTCCCAAAAAGACAGGAGTAAATGACCTATTTAGAGTAGCTCTTCGCATTGCACACTACAAAAGAAAAAAAAATTAATAATTATTAACCTTAAAAAAAGTTTTGTATTTCAAATTAATTACAAACCAACAAGTGACTAAAATGAACTAGTACTCATTGGAGTACAGGCTACTGTGCAGACTAGAATCAGGTCCTCTATAACTTAAGGTCAAAATACAAGAAAAAAAAATCAGTTCCTTTTTCAGGGCTAGGAAGCGATTCACTGTATAACCACTTTTGACACTCTTGCAGTGTCACTAATTTTCAATATGACCAAAAATACATACATACACATAAAAAAAGAGGCACACACACACAGAATTGTGTAAACAGTATGCTAACAATTATGTAAAACATAAGGAAAAGTAAAACACACAATCTCTGGAAAGATACACCACAATCTATTAACTGGTAACCTGTTATCAGGAAGAGGCAGAGAACTAGGCAAATGGGAATCACATGCAAGATTTTTTCTTTACTGTATACTTGTATGTTTTTAAATGTTTAAAACAATGAAAAATAGCATCTATTAAAAAACGTTTAGGGGCGCCTGGGTGGCGCAGTCGGTTAAGCGTCCGATTTCAGCCAGGTCACGATCTCGCGGTCCGGGAGTTCGAGCCCCGCGTCAGGCTCTGGGCGGATGGCTCAGAGCCTGGAGCCTGTTTCCGATTCTGTGTCTCCCTCTCTCTCTGCCCCTCCCCCGTTCATGCTCTGTCTCTCTCTGTCCCAAAAATAAATAAACGTTGAAAAAAAAAATTAAAAAAAAAAACAACGTTTAATTAACAGATTTGTTTTCTTTTTTAAAAAATAACATACATACAGGAAGCCAAGGAGTACAAATCACTCACAAATTAAGGACCATGATTGTAACAGGCTCTAAAATAACAACCTCCAGGTCATACCCCACTCTATTGCAAGCACTATTAATGTGTCCCAGCTGTATGCCCTGGGTGGCCCTCCCAGCTAAGCAGGCCTCTGAGGAGCTGTAGGTCTTAGCAGCCGGAAGAGGTCAACAGCAGTGCTGTGGCCACAAGCCGCCACAGCAGAAATACGGAGCCAGTGTACAAGTCTTTCTCAGTCCTCATGAAAAAATAGAAAACTAGCTACTCCAAGAAACATGTACAATCACAATTTCCAAACAGCACCACAGTGAACAGTAGCATAACAGCTGCATACGATAAAGAGAGTATAAAATAGGGGAAAATATGCATAACAAGAAAGAAATTGCTATATGAAATTATCACAAAAGCTTGTTTTTGCTGTTGCTAGGATCCACAAATGGCTACCTTACTAACGGCTTAGATTATCCCTATGCCACATGATCACAACTCAGACTTTTTGCCCCTCTCTCATATGCAAATAGGGACGTAAAAGAATCTTACCACGTTTAATTGAACAGAGAAAAACTTGAGGGTGGTAGATTTAACAAGAGGTTTATTTTTCCAAAAATTTCCCTTGTTTTCATAAGAATCACGTGCACACTTGAAAGTTATTGCCTTTTCACTGTCCCTAATAATATATCCAATAATACAGAAAGTAAAGTATACCCATGTATCCTATGCAGAAAACAGTAAACCAAGCAGCCCTGAAACGACTAGGCTTAGAAAAGCCTGTTTGCAAGGCTGGCCCCCTGGAAGGTGTCTGGGAACCTGGATTTCAGGAGGGTTCCCAGCATTCCAAGAACCATGAATGGTTTGCTGGGCCTACACTGTTTGCACAGTGTGGTGTAATGCTGAACACCTGCTTTCCTTCTGGGAGTCTGGAATATGGGTACACACTAGGCAGAGGATGTCTGTGACCAGCCCTTCATAACACCCAGGGCACTGAGTTTCCAGTAGCTGGGACTTCACAGGTGAGGTCACCGCTCACTGCTGGAGGAATGTGGCCTGCCCCGCCATGACTCCACTGGGAAAGGACTCTTGGAAGCTTACACGTGGTTTCTTCTGGACTTTACCTCATGTGCCTTTACCCTTTGCCGATTCTGCCTTGTATCCTTTCACTGTATTAAATCATAGTCATGAGTATGATAATGTGTTGAGAACCCTGGGTGATCCTCATGAATCACTGAACCAGGGAATCGTCTTGGGGATCTGACACAACCCCAGTAATAGATAAAATCCAAACTCTGCGCTGTGGTTCCCAGGACACAATGCTTGACCTATACCTTCCTACATAGTTTGTGAATGCTAAAGGACTCAAGTTATGAGATATATTAAAGCATCCTCAGCTTCAATAGGGTTCTTCCCTTGTGCATCTGATCTACTAAAACCCCCATGAGTACAAGGTCTTACACACAATAATTATTTACCTGATCTCTGCTAAGTGTACCATGTCGTTTGGTAAAATGGATGTTTTTTTAATGGTAAAATAAACATAGAATTTATCATTTTAATCATTTTTCAGTATATAGCTCAGTGGCATTAAGTACATTTACACTGCTATGCCACCTCCACCTCTATCCATCTCCAGAACTTTTTCATCATCTCAAATTGAAACTCTGACCCATTAAACACTCCATTCCTTAATGCACCCCTCTACCACTGCCCCTGGTAACCACTACTTCTGTCTTTAGGAATTATGACTATTCTGGGTATCTCATGTAAGTGGAATCATACAATATTTGTCTTTTTGTGTCTAGTTTGTATCATTTGGCATGTCTTCATAGTTCATCCATGCTATAATGTGTATCAGAATCTCATTCCTTTTTAAGGCTGAATAATATTCCATTGCATGTACATACTCATTTTGTTTATCCATTCATCCACTGCTAAGCATTTGGATTGTTTCCCGGTTTTTGCTATTGTGAATAGTGCTGTTATCAACACAGGTGTACAAATACCTGTTTGAGTCCCTGCTTTCAATTATTTTGGATATTACCCAGAAGTGGAATTCCTGGATCATATGGTAGTTCTAGGTTTAATTTTTTTTTAAACAATGGCTATACTTTCTCTACAGTGACTGCATCACCTTACATTCCCACTAGCAATGCACAAGAGTTTCAATTTCTCCACATCCCTGCCAATACTGGTCATTTTACAGAAAATAACTAGGGATGCCTGAAAATATTTTATTTACCAGAAAATAACAGGGATGCCTGAAAATATTTTATTTACCAGAAAATAACAGGAATGCCTGGGTGGCTCAGTGGATTAAGTGTCCGACTTTGGCTCAGGTCAAGATCTCGCCGTTTGTGAGTTTGAGCCCCGCATCAGACCCTGTGCTGACAGCTCAAAGCCTGGAGCCTGCTTTGGATTCTGTCTCCCTCTCTCTCTGCCCCTCCCCCACTCGCACTCTCTTTCTCTCAAAAATAAAAACATTAAAAAAAAAAAAGAAAGAAAAGAACATTAACAGAAAAAAATTGATTCTGGGTTTTTGGTTTTTTTTTTTTTATTTTTTTCAACTTTTTTTTTTTTTATTTTTTTTTTATTTTTGGGACAGAGAGAGACAGAGCATGAACGGGGGAGGGGCAGAGAGAGAGGGAGACACAGAATCGGAAACAGGCTCCAGGCTCCGAGCCATCAGCCCAGAGCCTGACGCGGGGCTCGAACTCACGGACTGCGAGATCGTGACCTGGCTGAAGTCGGACGCTTAACCGACTGCGCCACCCAGGCGCCCCGGTTTTTTTTTTTTTTAAATAGCCATCCTCATAGATAAAGTGAAATATCATTATGGTTCTGATTTGCTTTCCCTAATGATTACTGATGCTGAGCATCTTTTTGGTTGCTTATTGACCATGTGTACGTCTCCTGTGGAAAAACTGTCTATTCAAAAAATAAATACCAGTCTCAGACAGATATCTTATTTTTATAGAACTAATTGATCAAGCGAAGAAATCTATACAGCCCTTCCAAATAGTACAATAATACACGTATCAACATTTAGTCTGCAAACATTTAACAGCCTTGTCTCTTAATCTGTCTTTATTGCTATAACGCTTCTATATTTATCTTCCTCTTTCTTAAGGTATACCCAAGAGGTTGGATGTTTAAATATCTTTTTTTTTCCTAGAACAAACTGTAACTGCTTTCCCATTTTAAGATGTTACAGAACTACTTACTTTAAAAGAAAGAGTTATATGTCACAGCCAAGTATTTTTCGAAAAAAAAATCAACAATGTTAAATAAATTTGCTCAGATTTCATTAATAAAAGCCATGCATAAAAGCATCATGTCTTTTTCCCACAAAAAACAAACAACAAAAAACCCCACCCCTTTTTCTGGTTAATGTAAGACTTATTTTGAGAGCACTTGCCTTTAAATCAGAAATTGAGGGGATTTTTTCTTCCAGGAACATCTCACCAAGCTGCTCATCTGAATTGGCAACACATTCAATCAGCTCCTGCCGGTGGTCAGCTGCTGCTGCCCTGAATTCTGCTGGAATTTCCTCATATCGAACAATTTGACTAAGAAAAGAAATGCTTTACGTTGCTATTTTAAGGATATTCAATTAAAAATAAAAAGCACCAGAAAAATGAAACTAGACCACTTTCTTACACCATTCACAAAAACAAACTCAAAATGGATAAAGGACCTGAATGTGAGACAGGAAACCATCAAAACCCTAGAGGAGAAAGGAGGAAAAAACCTCTCTGACCTCAGCCGCAGCAATTTCTTACTTGACACATCCCCAAGGGCAAGGGAATTAAAAGCAAAAATGAACTATCGGGACCTCATGAAGATAAAAAGCTTCTGCACAGCAAAGGAAACAATCAACAAAACTAAAAGGCAACCAACAGAATGGGAAAAGATATTTGCAAATGACATATCGGACAAAGG